TAGAAGGCGCGAACCCAAGAGCCGCAAGTGTAGTCCTCAGTGTGTGGTGCCACTCACGTGGCGCCTGGCGGAGACCGTAGACCGGCCGCCGGAGGCTCCACTGGGTACCAGGAGGGAACGACCCAGTGAAGCCAGGAAGGCGGCGTAGCCAGATCTCTTCGTGTAGGCTGCCCTGCAAGAAAGCTGTACTGAAGTCATGAGAGTGAAGCTCGTAGTCACGCTGAGCGGCAACGTGCAGTAGCACCCGAAGAGTGGTCATCTTCGGGGTGGGGGAGAAGGTCTGGAAGAAGTCTACTCCCTCTCGCTGACTGAAGCCTCGAGCAACGTAACGAGCCTTGAAGACAGGCGGAGAACCTGGCGGCCGCTTCACCCTGAAAATCCACATGCCACTGACGATGTTCGCCCCAGGGGGGGGAACCTCGTCGACGTAAGTGCCAGTGGACTTCCAGGATGCCATCTCTGCGTCCATGGCTGTCTGCCACTGAGAGGAGTACTCACCCGTGATCGCCTCAGCGTAAGAGCGCGAGGTCGGGATGTCTGGTGCATCCGGGTCTCCCTCAGGTGCAATCAGCATGGACACGAGATGAGGTACAGCAGCAGCAAAGCACTCAAACTCCTCCTGCCTGTCCTCAAGGACGTCCGTGCCAAGAGCACACTCACCCCCGACGGACGGAGGACAGACAGACTCAGACTCAGCAGCAAGACTCGCAGCGTAGTCTAGACGACAGTGAGCAGCAAAGTCGACAAGCTCAGCAACTAAGGCAGACGCAGCAGCTGACTCAAAGGAAGGGTCAGTGACAGTAGTGGCCAGGAGACGCGTGACAGTAGGACTAGCAGCACGAAGAGAGTCAGACTCCGGGTCAGCAAGGGCAGGAAGAGAGGACGCAGGAGGAGAAGGCAGAGGGACACGCTGTGGAGCAGTGGAAAGACGAAGCGTCATCTGGTGAGTGCCTGGGACAGCAAGAGGACGCTGACGCGGGACACAATGACCAGTGCGAGCAGCACGAATAGGTGACGCAGAACGAGACTCAGGCGACACAGGACGAGACGCAGGTTCACGACGCTCCGTAAGACCTCCTGTCGGACCAGCGTAGGGAGAAGGACCAGGAAGTGGCGAGGCAGGGTGTAACTGTGATTACGACTGGACAGACGGAGGACACTCTAAGGAGGTAGCAGGACAAGGAGGAGGTAGCAAGACAAGGAGGAGGCGGCTGACCAAGAACCCGCTGAAGGAGCGGAACGAAGTACGGCCGCGGCCGTGGAGTGCCCCCAGAACCAGCAGAGACAGCACCAGAACCCCCAGTAGCAGCTCCAACTCCTGCAGCACCACCAGCAGCTCCAGTAGTGCCAACTCTAGTACCCCCAGTAGCACCAGCTCCAGCCGCACCGTCAGCTCCAGCACCTGCAGGAGGACGAGCGTCAGCGCCTCCAGCTCCAGCCCCTGCAGCACCACTAGCCCCAGTACCAGTAGCACCTCCAGCAGCTCCAGTAGCACCTCCAGTCCCAGCAGCTCCAGTACCGCCAGTACGAGCACCTCGAGGACCAGTGGCTCCAGCACCTCCAGCGCCAACCCCAGGGTCAGCAGCGACACCAACTCCTGTGGGTCCAGCACCCTCAGCTCCAGCTCCAGCGGCACCTCCAGCTCCCACAGCACCACGGCGGCGACGACAGTACCGAGAGTACCACTCACGCAGCTGCTGGGAAGAGAGAGTGCCCCCAGGCGCAGTACCCCCAGGCTCAGGACCTCCAGGCTCAGCACCCCCACACACAGCACCCCCAGGCTCAGCACCCGTAGTCTCCGCACCCCCAGGCTCAGCACCCCCAGTCTCCGCACCCCTAGGCTCAGCATCCCCAGTCTCCGCACCCCCAGGCTCAGCACCCCCAGTCTCCGCACCCCCAGGCTCAGCACCCCCAGTCTCAATACCCCCAGACCCAGCACCACCAGGCTCAGCACGCTCAGGCTCAGCACGCTCAGTACCTCTCACAGGGCCAGAGTCAACAGCTACCTCGACAGGCTCGACCGGGTCTACCTGGGAAACACCTGAGGGAGCAGGACCTTGGGGAGGCGGGGGGTCTACCGAAGCAGCACCTGGCGTGAGGAAGAGCGGCGGAGGGGGGAGCGGGGCAGTGCGGTAGGGGAAGAGACGGTAAATGGGGAACGACTCGTCAGACGTGACGTCCTGAGAGGGGAAGATATGGCGCGAGGTGGGGTGGTAAAACTGCCAGCCAGGCGCGTCAGGGACAAAGCCCAGGAAGACACAAGGAACGGCGCGGGAGGAGAGCTTGTCCGCGGACGTATCGCGGACAAAGGCACGAGATCCCCAGACACGGAACACAGACGCATCGCCAATCTTTCCCGTCCAACGCAGTGTCGGCGAGGTCTCCGGAGCGGAGACACGGGGCCAGAGGTTGAGCTGATGCGCGGCGTACCGGACCGGAAACGTCCACAGAAAATGGGGGGCATCCGCATGGACCAAGGAGGTACGAGCGACCTCCATGACCAAGCCAATGCGGCGCTCAGCAATCCCATTCTACTGAGGAGAGGCCAGAAGCGTGAACGTCTGCTCAATGTCCTCCCCCTGACAGAAGGCCTCCAAGAGGCCGGAGGAAAACTCACCAAGAGTGCAGTCGCAGGACGGGAAGGTCCGTGCGAAAGCGCCTCTCCAGCTGGAGACGGGTAGCGCGGATCCAAGGGATCAAGACAGCAAGGACCTCTCCCTTGGTGCGCAAGGGGAAGACCGTGGTGTAACGCGTGTAGTCGTCAACTACCAGCAGGAAGTAGCGCTCTCCGCCCTGTCGACGGACGCGGGCAGGGCAGTGCTCACCAGTGGTGGGAAGGGCAGGCGTACGACGGAGGCGACTGCGGGGCCGCTACAGCGGCAGGGTGGGGCCGCGACCGCGGCAGGAAGCTCCGCGGCAGTTGCTGCAGGGCGGGACCGGGCCGCGACGATCGCTGCTGTAGGGGCGGCTGCTCCAGGGGCCAAGGGCGGCTGCTGCAGTGGCGGCTACTCCAGGGGCGGCTGCTCCAGGGGCGGCTGCTCCAGGGGCCAGGGGCGACTGCTCCAGGGGCCAGGGGCGGCTCCTGCAGTGGCGGCTGCTCCAGTGGCCAGGGGCGGCTGCTGCAGGGGCGGCGGCTCCAGGGGCCAGGGGCGGCTGCAGGTGCGGCTGCTCCAGGGGCCAGGGGCGGCTGCTGCAGGGGCGGCTGCTCCAGGGGCGGCTGCTCCAGGGGCGGCTGCTCCAGGGGCCAGGCGCAAGGTAGGGCAGGGCGACGCGGCGGGCAGGGCGACGCGGCGGGCAGGGGCGACGCCGCTGGCAGGGGCGACGCGTCAGGCAGGGCGATGCGGCGGGAAGGGCGACGCGGCGGGCAGGGGGCGACGACGCGTCAGCCGCTGGGCGCGGCCGCGTCAGCAGCAGGGCGCGGCCGCGTCAGCAAAAGGGCGCGGCCGCGTCAGCAGTAGGGCGCGGCCGCGTCAGCGACAAGGCGGGGCCGCGACTGCGGCCTGACGGGGCCGCGACAGCGACCTGACGGGGTCGTGTGCTGGCCTGACGGGCCTGCAGAGGCTGCTCGCGGGCGGCGAGGGCCTGCAGGGGTGGCGCGCGGTCGGGCAGAGGCTGCGCGCGGGCAGGGGAGGCGCGCGGTCGGGCGGCAAGGTCCTGCAGGGGCAGCGCGCCGACCTGACGGGCCTGCAGGGGTGGCTCACAGGCCTGACGGGCCTGTAGGTGGCGGCTCGGGGGCCTGACGGGCCTGCAGAGGCGGCTCGGGGGCCTGACAGGCCTGCAGGGGCGGCTCGAGGGCCTTACTAGCTTGCAGGGGCGGCGCACTGGCCTAGGGCAGCAGGAGGCAGCGCGAGGGCTGCAGGACGGCGCGCGGGCAGAACGAAGGGCGAGGCGCACGAGCAGAGAAAGGCGCACGAGGGCGCACGTAAGGTAGGGCGCACGAGGGCGCTTCTAGCGAAATAGTGGGCCCGTAGTAGTAAGCGGTCCTAGGTGGCAACCTAGGCTCGTGATACCATGTCATAATCAACAAGAGTGATTGAACTAGGAAAGAGTTGGGTACAAGTAGGAAACCCTAAACTTACTGTAACCCAAAGTAACTACCCCACTACAGCCTAAACAAACTGTAGCAGATATAACATTTGACAGTTTTTACAGTTTTGCACCAGTTGGGTGATGCAATAAGACTCCCGAATCTGTGGCAAACATTCGGTTGTAGCGGATATCCATGCCTTAGCAATCATGCGTCATAGTGAACGAGCTCGAATTCACTTCTGGTATAGCCTCCTGAAGGAGTTTCAAAGCATTTGAACATGGACTCTTGTTCTCCACACCCACTCACGCGCAGCCCAAACTCAACAGTGTGTGCTCGCTGTCTAACACACAAAAGTTTAGCGTATGACCATCTCAGTCTGTTATGTCATGATACCCATCAGCAAAGATAATGGGCAGACAGTTGGAAATGATTTCTCTTGCCCCCCGAAAAAATCGCTCATGCTCGAAAGAAACGATTGCCATTTCTGGATCAAGAAGCGTTCATTTCTGGATCTTCCGTAAATTTGGCGAGTTTTGTATCAGCTCACATGACAGTACACGAAAGTACAAAATATAGCCCCTATCAAAAGTTACAAATCAATTTTCGTGTTAAAACAACAAATGTGTTCCGAAGCTTAGTTGTGAAAGACGCGTCCTGCGTCTTAGACGGGTGCGTCCAGATGCAGCGTCTTAGACGCAAGACGCTTAATGTGGGCCTGGGAAACGCTACAAAAGACACATGCCCGGCAGGGCAAAAAAAAACCCCGCGCAGCCAAAAACAATTGTTATAGGACATGGGAAGGGGAGGGGAGGGGGGGAACGTTCCACACATTCAATGCAAAACTTTCCCCAACAACAAACATTTCCCACAATTTTTAATATCAAGGCGAGTCACACATGTCACAAGGTCACATTATATCCAATCACTCAGCAACATGCATACTATACTACTACCGCATCAAGGCAACCAATCACTCATCCGCATCCTCCTCTCTCTCCTCCTCCTCCTCCTCCTCCTCCTCCTCCTCCTCCTCCTCCTCCTCCTCCTCCTCCTCCTCCTCCTCCTCCTCCATGTCTTCTTGGTGCTTGTACTCGTCGACGCACAAGCCGTCTTCGTCCACCTCCACATCCCCACTTCCACAACTTGCACCCCTCGGGAAGGGGAGGGGTGGGAATGTTCCCCTCCACTACCCTTGCCTTCCTTACTTCCCCACTTGGCCCTGCACCAGCCGCACCCTTATGGTGGCTGTGCACAACAGTCTAGTTGTGCGCAACGAACACAAGGTCGCGCACCTTCTCCAACCCCAGCATGTTCCTTCGCGCCGTGTGCACCCCATCCCATACAGCCCATCCCCGCTCGCACGGGGAAGCGGAAACGGGCTGTGATAGCGCACAGCACGCAAGGCCAGCCAGGTCGGCGTACTCCTAGCCGTTCACCTTCCACCACGTCACCATGTCCTCCTTTCTATCCTTCAGCTCCACACGCCCCTCTATCGCCCCTCCTTATCCGCCGCTTTGAGCCGGCAATGCGCGCTCTCCAACAGCGCCGACAACTCATCCGTCAGCTGCAGCATCATGTCGTAAAAAACCCCCATCATCCCCTTCGCCGGCCCATCCGTCTTTTTCTATCACCTTGTACGGCAGCTCCATCACCTTCACAAAGGTATCCGCCTTCTTCCACCACTCCGCATCCAATACCGACGCCTCGAAGTTCTTTCCAGTCTACTGCTTCCTCAAGAATGATGAACTAGCAGCATGCAGGAGTACAAGTAAGAAACCCTAATTGGGTTGTACCCCTTATGGGCTACCCCACTACAGCCTACACCATATGCAGCATATGAGTTTTGCACACCCCCATGGGCACAGTGGGGGAGAACAAGTGGTCACAAGACCAGTCAAGAAAAGCAAAGCAAGCTCAGGGTGGATCACGAAGTCACCACACACTCTGAGCACAAGCAAATGGCCACAAGGCCAGTTCACATGCAGAGTTATATAAAGCAGAACAAGCAGTACACTGATCAAAACCTAGCAAGGGTAAGCATGCAGGTATAAGCATATAGATCACATTACAAGCAAAGTCACGAAGTGAGCAAGTGAGGCCAACTAGGCACAAGTCCTAGAACAGTACAGAAACGCTGATGATCACAAGGCTGAAGTGCCTTGGTGAAGATATCAGCAGTGTTGGCCCGAAAGGCCACGTACGCAAGATGAAGCTGTCCACGCTGCTGCAACTCTCGAGCAAGGAAGTAATGCAGTGCGATGTGCTTCGGCCTGTGCTCCAGTCTGTGCTCCTAACACAAGGCAATCATGGCCTTGTTGTCGACGTACAGAACTGGAGGAGAATGAGGCGGCTCGCCCAAGTTGGTCAGCAGGTAGGTGAGCCAGCGTAACTCCTGTGCAGCCATGGCCCCTGTGTAGATCTCAGCCTCACAACTGGAACTGAGAACAGAAGACGAGCGGGTAGACCGCCAAGAAACAGAGCCAGAGCCAAGACTGAAGGTGTAACCCTGTGACGATCGCTGCGTAGCCAAGTCGTCAACCCAAGAAGTGTCTGTGTGACCAGTGAGGACAACTCGAGCCCGTCCTCCAAGCACGAGCCCCATGCCCGATGTACTGCACAAAAAGCGCAACACCCTCTTAGCGGCCTCCCAGTGCTCTGGTCGGTGTCTCCCGGACGCAAAGTAGCGTGCCAGGATGCTAAGAGGGTAAGCAAGGCCAGGTCGAGTGCAGGTCATCAGGTACATGAGGCAGCCCAGAAGCTCTGGATATGGGCCACTCGACTCTACGGACTCATCCGAAGGCAGAGCTGAGAGCGAGTGACCGGTAGGCAGAGGAGTGGACTGTGGCGAGGAGTACGTGAAGCGGAAGCGCTGAAGGACCTGCTGCACCATGTGTGACCGATTCAGGGTAATGGTGCGCCGTGCTCTGTCATGAGTGATCTGCAAGCCAAGCTAGTTGCGCAGCTCTCCCAGGTCTGTGCACGTGTGTCTTTTTTGCAGCTCCGACTTCACGTGGGCGAGTCCCTCAGTGTCAGCAGTGGCAAAGACCAAGTCGTCGACGTACACGAGTATGTAGAACAGCGGCACCAGCAGCAGCTCCAACTCCCGGGTCCTCAGCACCAGCAGCAGCTCCAACTCCCGGGTATGTAGCACCAGCAGCAGCTCCAACGTCAGGGTCCACAGCACCAGCAGAAGCTCCAACTCCATGGTCCGCAGCACCAGCAGTAGCTCCAACGCCCGGGTCCTCGGCACTAGCAGCAGCTCCAACTCCAGGGTCCGTAGCACCAGTAGCACCACCAGCAGCGTCAGCAGCACCAGCACCAGGGTCCGCGACACTAGGAGCTCCACTCCGGAGACTGCAGCGCCGCGCGTACCACTCTCGGAGCCGCTGGGGAGAGGGCAGCTCCCGCCGAGGAGGGGAAGCACTAGCACCGGCTCTAGCAGCCCTCCTGGCTCCAGAAGCACCTCTCCTGAGGCTGCAGTACTGTAAGTACCACTCACGCAGCTGCTGAGAGGAGAGAGCTCCTCCAGGTGTAGCACTCCCAGGCTCAGCACCTCCAGACGCAGCACCCCCAGACTCAGCACCTCCAGACTCAGCACCCCCAGACTCAGCACCTCCAGACTCAGTACCCCCAGGCTCAGCACCCCCAGGCTCCGCACCCCCAGGCTCCGCTCGCTCAGGCTCAGCACCCCTAGTAGGACGAGAGTCGACAGCTACCTCGACAGGCTCAACCGGGTCTACCTGGGACACACCTGAGGGAGCGGCACCCTGAGGGGGGAGGGGGTCTACCACAGCAGCACCTGGCGCGAGGAAGAGAGGCGGGGGGGGGAGCGGGGCAGTGCGGTAGGGGAAGAGGCGGTAGTAGGGCACGGACTCGTCAAAAGTGACGTCCTGAGAGGGCAGGACCCGGCGCGAGGTGGCGTGGTCAAACTGCCAGCCAGACGCATCCGGGACAAAGCCCAGGAAGACACAAGGAACAGCGCGGGAGGAGAGCTTGTCCGCGGACGTATCGCGAACAAAAGCTCGAGATCCCCTGACCCGAAAACGCGACACATCGCCAACCTCTCCCGTCCAACGCAGTGTCGGGGAAGTCTCCGGCAAGGAGACACGGGGCCAGAGGTTGAGCTGATGCGCAGCGTAGCGGACTGCAAACGGCCACAGAAAGTGGGGGGCAGCCGCATGGATCAAGGAGGTACGAGCGACCTCCATGACCAAGCCAATGCGGCGCTCAGCAATCCCATTCTGCTGTGGAGAGGCCGGAAGCGTGAACGACTGGCGAATGCCGTGCTCTGCACAGTAGGCGGCCAAGAGGTCGGAGGAGAACTCACCACCTCTGTCAGAGTGCAAGCGCAGGACAGGGAAGTCCGAGTGGAAACGCTCGCTGAGCTGGAGACGAGAAGCACGGATCCAAGGGATCAAAACATCAGGGACCTCACCCTTGGTGCGCAAGGGGAAGACCGTGGTGTAGCGCGAGTAGTCGTCAACAACTATCAGGAAGTACCTCTCCTGACCCTGACCACGGACGCGGGCTGGGCCCCACACGTCCATGTGGAGCGTCTGCAAGGGAGCAGTCGTCGGGGGAAACGAGGAGGAGTGAGGAGCGGCGCGCTGCCGCCCCTCGACACAGGGAAGACAGGGAGGAGCAGGCGAGGGTGGGAGTGGAGGGAGAACCCTGGGAAGGCCAGAGACAAGGTACCATTTGTGCATGGCACGAAGGCGCTGCACGGACGGGTGACCAAGTCGGTGGTGCCAGAGGACGGTCTCGTGCGCCAGAGAGCGACACGAGCAGGGGGCTGACAGCTGACCTGACGCAGACGCAGACGCAGCTACCTGAGGGGACTCAGTGGTCAGTGTGTACAGGTCCGACCCTGGCTGCCGAGTGAAGGTAGCCAGGTGACGGCCCGTCCGAGCACACGTGCAGTGTGTCACGCGCTCGTAGGCAGGGGTGAACTGGTGGACCCCCCCGTCCTGGAGCGCACTACCCGCCACCAAGTTCGTAGAGAACGAGGGGAGGTAGAGACCTGACAGAGTGCCCGACGGAACTGCAGGACAAGGAAGGACAGTGGAGGAGGTCGCAACGATCGGACCCCCAGAGGGGTCAGCGAGGGAGACAGCAACTGGCCGAGCAAGCGGCTCAAGGGCAGTGCGGTCACGAAAGAAACAGCGAGAAGCACCTGAGTCCAGTGTGAAGGTGTGCAGTGCCTCACCAGCACCTGGGGTAGTAGACACGCGAGTACCTGGAGCGGCAGCCTCACAAGCACCTAGAGCGGCAGCCTCACTGGTCTGAATGCCCGGGTCGGGCGGAACACGCAGGTACTGAGCACCCTCTCCACTAGTAGACATCACATACATGGCAGTGAGAATAGCATCAAAGTCTAGAGCATAGATATCAATGTTCTTCTTCATCAGATCAGCCCAGCGGGGCAGCTCAGTGGCATCAGGGAACTGAGTACGCCAAGCGTCATCGAGGCGAGAGAAGCAGCGCTGCGCGGTGTGTGCCCTCCCACACGTCTGACCAGTGCGGTCACCAGTGCGGATGACGTACGTGCAGCTAAGGCCACCCCCCCCCCCCGTGCTGAAAGTACCACTCACGGAGCTCCTGGGGCGATAGAGTGTGCTGCTGGCTCTGGCCACTGCCAGCGCCTCCACGACCACCACCGCCGCCGCCACCTCCTCGACCACCCCCTCCCCTGCCGCCGCCGCGTCCACCGCCGGGTTCGTGGCAAGAAACTCATCGGGCATGGCGGCACGGAAGCGGGCCTCACTAGTACGGAGGTGCGTGATGAGGTCAGCAACTGTGTGGAAGGAGGCGAGGTCGGGGAACAGGTAGGGGAGTGAGAGACGGCCTAGTGCGGCAGAGGCAGGTGAGGAGTAGCGGGCAACGACAGCAGTGTACAGTGCCTGTGCAGTCTTGTGCTGGCCAAAGTGCTCGCGCTCATCGATCGGCAGGGAGTTGCGAATAGCAAAGCGAGCGTGAGCGTCACGAGTCTGCCACTGTGAGCGGGCCGTGCTGTCAGCAGTAGCAGCAGGGGCAGTGGCATGGCCTAGGGCGTGGTCGTACAGTGAGATGTCTTCCTTGGCAGTGAGCTGTAGGAAGAGGTGCAGGTCATCTAGCCAGGTGTCAAACTTCACTGGGCGGCCCTCAGCATCGAAAGCTAGTACAGGAGGGCTAGCCATAGTAGCAGTAGGAGCAGCAGTATAGTAGCAGTAGGAGTAGTAGGAGAACCCTAAAAGCAGTAGGGCGGCTCGGTCCAGAGAGGACTGTGCAGTACGGGGAGGGCGGCGCGGTTCGGTTCGGGCGGCTCGGTTCGGGCGGCGCGGCTCGGCTCGGGCTGGGCGGCTCGGTTCGGGCGGCTCGGTTCGGGCGGCCTGGTTCTGGCGGGGCCGTGGCCGTCGCGTGCGGGGTGCTAAGGGGCGGTGTGTGGGGTCGACGGGGCCGCTAAGGGGTGGGCGCGCGCGGGGTCTACGGGGCCGACGGGGCCGCTAAGGGACGGCGCGCGGGGTCGACGGGGCCAGCGGGGCCTCTAGGCGGGGTACACGTGGGGTCGACGGGGCCAGCGGGGCCGCTAGGTGGGGCGCACGTGGGGTCGACGGG